AGCGGCCCAGATCCAGCCCATGTTGTACTTAGATCTGGCCCACAGGGCCGCCCTGGAAATAGTGAAGGAACGGCCTACGGTGCCTCTGCCAGCGAAAAAGGAAGTTGGGATATCTCAGGGGTTGCCACAAAGAAGAGGGAGTCAAACTATTCTCCAAGGCACCTGAGGGTAGAACAAGAAGCAATGGGTAGAAACTAATCAAGGAGAGAAGCAACCTAGAACCGAGGAGAAATTTCCTGACAGTTAGAACAATTAATCAGAAATTAATTAAACAATTAAACAGAACAATTAAAAGAGAAATTGCCTCCAGAAGTTGTGAATGCCCCAACAGTGGAAGTCTTTAAGAAGATGTTGGATAGCCATTTGTCTGAAGTGGTATAGGGTTTCCTGCCTAAGCAGGGGGTTGGACTAGAAGACCTCCAAGGTCCCTTCTAACTCTGGTATTGTATTGAATTGTATTGTATTGTATTGTATTAACACATATAGAGAGCACCTGCTAACCATTCAATGTTTGGGACTCCAAACAGCCCCAATATCTTTGGGTTTCCAGCCTTCTACCAATCTGGAAGCACCCTTTTTAATCCAGTTCCGGATTTGCAGGGAGGAGTCAGTACACGGAAATCGAAATCCTGTTTGTCTAGCTTGCTGCACTGACATATGGAAAAGCAGGTTTATGCTTTGTGTAAATAAAAGACGGAAGAAGCTGTTGGAGGGAATCCTGCTTAGCAGGGCAGGGTGGAGACTGTGAAGGGAATAATAAAAGAATGGCAGTGTTAGCAAGCAGGGACTAAAAAGATGAGGTCACTTTCCTATTTGCAAAACTAGCATTAGCAAAACTACAGAGCCAGCTGGTGGAGTACCAGAGAGGAAATGGATTTTAAACAGCCAGTAGCCTAACAAGCTACTTGGAATGTGCAACCAGCTCCCTGCAAAAAATTCAACCGCTCTGGAAGTTTAAAAAAAAATCCAGCTAGGCATCCCATCATCTGGGAGATTTATGATGCTTGCAATGAAACAAGAGTGGAAAAACTAGTCATTTTTTTTCCTCATCAGGCTTAATAGAATAATAGAACAGAATAAGAGTTGGAAGGGATCCTTGGAGGTCTTCTAGCTCAACCCCCTCCACCATTCCAGGCAAGTGACTGTCCAGTCTCTTCTTCCAGTGGGAAGAAGCCCACAACTTCGAGTGTTGGAGCATTCACAGCTTCTGGAGGCAAGTTATTCCACTAATTAATTGTTCTCACTGTTAGGAAATTTCTTCTTAGTTCTAGGTTGTTTCTCTCCTTGATTAGTTTCCATCCATTGCTTCCTGACCTACTTTCAGGTGCTTTGGAGAGTAGGTTTTCCCCCTCTTTTTTGTGGCAACCCCTAAGATATTGGAACACTGCTATCACATCATCCTTAGTCCCTTTTTCCATTAAACTAGACATACCCAATTCCAGCATTATATATTTTAGCCTCCAGTCCCCTAATCATCTTTGTTGCTCTTCTCTGCACTCTTTCTAGAGTCTCCACATCTTTTTTACATTGTGGCAACCAAAACTAAATGCAGTATTCCAAGTGTGGCCTTACCAAGGCGTTATAAAGTGGTACAGGTAATCCTCAACTTACAATAATTCGTTTAGTGAAGGTTCAAAATTACAAAGGCACAAATGGTGGGTTGCAGGTGGTACGCCCCGATTCGGACGTACCAGATCCTGCCCAGAGCACCGACTACCGTTCCAGTAAGATTCTCCAGAGGGCCCACTCAAGCTCCTTACTTGTGCTTTAAGCCTTTGGCGCTTCCGTGCATGGCTCATATGGTGTCTGTGCAATGCTCTGCCAAGCTGCTGGTGCATTGCGGAGACTTGAGGAAGCGTTGCAGGCAAGTACAATGTGTCCGCGCGCACCGCGTACGTCCATGTGAGTGACGCCGGGGCCGTTCCAACCCTACCGGTTCCAATCCGGAACCCACAGTAGCTTATGACCAGTTTTCACACTTACGACTATTGTAGCATCCTCATGGTCATGGGATCAAAATTCAGATGCTTGACAATTGACTCATATTGCAATATTGAGTCCCAGGGTCACATGATTCCCTCCTGCAACCTTCTGACAAACACAGCTTCTAGGGAAGCCACTTAGCAACAATTTGACTAATTAAAGAACTACAGTGATTCACTTAAAACCTGTGAAATCTGCAAGAAAGGTTGTAAAATGGGGCAAACTCACTTAACAAATTTTTCACTTAGCAACAGAAATTTTGGTCTCCATTGTGGTCGTACGTCGAGGACTACCTGTACTAACACTGCACCTGATCTTGATTCTATATTCTATTAATAAATCTCACCCTTCTTCCTGGCCAAGGCAATCACTTCTGCGGCACTTTTGCTCATCACTTTGGTGATGTATAAGGGGCAGTTGGTTTGGTTGGCAATGGTTATAGCCCGGTTCACAGCTTCGGCCTCCACCTATCAGGCAAGAAGAGAGAAGGACAAAGAAGCAGAGATCAATCAATCTTTACTACAGTCACAGACCAGCAAATAAAAGCATTAAAATCATCATCATCATCATCATCATCATCATCATCATCATCATCATCATCATCAT